AGGAGCCTTCTCTTCTCCAGCTGCCCCAGCCCAGCTCTCTCAGCCTGGCTCCAGAGCAGAGCTGCTCCAGCCCTCGCAGCAGCTCCGGGGCCTCCTCTGGCCTCGCTCCAGCAGCTCCACGTCCCTCTTGTGCTGTTCCCCAGAGCTGGATCAGGGCTGCAGGGGGGGTCTCCCCAGAGCACAGCAGAGGGGCAGGATCCCCTCCCTGAGCTGCTGCTCACGCTCTGGGGGTGCACCCAGCACACGGGGGGTTCTGGGCTCAAGCACACACTGACGGGTCATGAGGAGCTCAGTTATTTGCTGGGTTATACACGTTCTGTGCTGATGCTGCTGAAAGTCACAGTTACTGACCCTGATTCTTGCCTTTCAGGCTGAAGCTGTGAAGGCAGAGGTGAAGCAGGAGGAGCCAGGCCCGGGCAGGTATGCCTTTGCCCTGTCTGAGCTTTCTGTCAATGTGTCTGTAGTGTTGGTGGTTATCTGTGGAAGAGGAAGCACTTTCTGAGCCATCTCTAGCTGAGCTTGGTGCAGATCCCGCTCTGAGATCCATCATCTGTTCCCTCTGTCACCGCTTTGAGCTGCCTGGGTTCTGTGTGTGGGACGTGGCGCGTGTTGCCGCAGAGCTGTAATGTCTGTGATTCCTTTGGGAGAACATGGGCTGAAACCCTCTTTTCTCTGTAATTCCTTGAGTTATTATTGTTTTCCTCATTTGGCCAGGATTTTACCCCAGGTCCTGGGAAGTGTGTTGGGATATACGTGTTGGTAAGCCCAGTTTTTGTTGTATTGAACCAAAAAGCACTTGCTCTCTTTTGTCCTCCAGCACTTTCCTCTGTCAGAGCATCTTGGCTCTACTGTTTCTGTTTCCAAATGCTAAAAATAAACTGGAATTTCCTTGTTTAACTGATTAACATTCACTTCATGCTGTGATACAGGTCCCTGACTTGATTTAAAACCGATGTTTAGGTGCTGTATTAACATCAGAACCTACACATGGGGAATGGTGGGATTGGTATGTTCCATTTACAACTGTTAGCTTGTAGTAAAATTCCTAATTATGGAATATTTGTTGGTTTTAGAGTCTGGATTATGTTTTATTTAATGACTGGATAGATGATTATGAGAGTTTTTGTTAACAAATATGACTTCCAACACTTTCTGTGACTCAAATCCATATTTCTGGCTAAGTTACATCAAACCAAAAGTGTGGAATAATGATCCTAAAGTTCCATTTCCAGTGATGCCATTTTACTGTCATGGATTGTTACTCTATCTCCAAGCGGTGTTCTTTATAAAAGCAGAGTTAAATCATTCCTGACTTCAGGAAACCTCTCCTCAGATCCAGTTGGAAGCACTTAGTTTCGGAGCCGTCTCCGAGCCGCAGGTGGCAGATGTGCAGGTAACCTCTTTGATCCCAGCCTTGGGCTTTAGCTGGTGCTGGAATTCATCAAAACAAGCAGCTCTTCCATGAATCCCAGCTGCTTCCCCCTGCCCTCTAGTAGCTGGGAAATCCAACAGTTTTCCCTACCAATATCCCTAGACCCCGTCTCCTTAACTGAGGCAGCTCTTCTCCTCATGACCCTTTGTGACTTGACTCCTTTTAGTTACATCTAATAAGCAGCAGAAAATATCTTTAATATCATTAATGGAGATATAAAGACCTTGTCCCATGTTTCTGGGGAGGGAAGGAGTAGTAAATCTGGGGAGCAGAAGGAGCTGCCTCTTGCTTGTCCAGGATGAGGAGATGATGTTAAGAAACCTTGGAATGCTGCTGGGAGCTCGGTGGTTGTCCACCCTTGGACAGGCAGGGAGCTTGTCCAGCCTTGTGGCTGAGGGGCTGATGTGTTCATGTGGACTCATCTGCTCTTGTCAAGGATGCTCGTGCGTTTTGGTGGGATCTCTTTTCCTCAGCTGAAGCTTTTCCTGGCCAGGTGAAGACTCAAGGAGCATCCCACTGCTCCTTCCAGTCCTGAGTAGGAAGCAGGTTGTGTCCCTCTGCTGGTGATTCCAGGACTGATCCCAAGCCTTTCCCTTGCTAACTGCAGAGCTGTGTACAGCAGCTAGAGCAGGGCTGCCCTGTGCAGGAACCAAGCCCAGGTACTGCTGGTTTCCTCCTTTACACTGACTTGTGTGCAGGAAATACAGCTTGGAGTCCCCTTGCTGCTGCTTTCCTGATGCCTGACAGGTCTCCTGCTTCTTGATCACCTTCGTCTCTGCACGCTGCTGCCTCTGCAGAGCTCATCTTCAGCCACTTCACACTCTGTTTTGAATCAGTCTGTGTATTTTGGAGCTGAGCAGGGCTTTGTGGGAGGCACAGGGTGGGTGTTGGCATGAAAGTCCTGAGGATTGAGAGACTAACACAGAATCATGGAGTTAAACCACGGAACCCCAGCCTTCTTGATCACCTTCGTCTCTGCACGCTGCTGCCTCTGCAGAGCTCATCTTCAGCCACTTCACACTCTGTTTTGAATCAGTCTGTGTATTTTGGAGCTGAGCAGGGCTTTGTGGGAGGCACAGGGTGGGTGTTGGCATGAAAGTCCTGAGGATTGAGAGACTAACACAGAATCATGGAGTTAAACCACGGAACCCCAGCCTGGTTTGTGTTGGAGGGACCTTAAATCTCCTCCAGTCCCAGCCCCTGCCCCGGGCAGGGACACCTTCCACTAGAGCAGGTTGCTCCAAGCCCCTGTGTCCAACCTGGCCTTGAACACTGCCAGGGATGGGGCAGCCACAGCTTCTCTGGGCACCCTGTGCCAGCGCCTCAGCACCCTCACAGGGAAGAGCTTCTGCCCAAGAGGGTTTAGGTTGATTCCAGGCCTAAGCAGCACGTCAGGCATTAAGACACTGGAATGAGTGAGGCTGCTTTTCTTTCCTGAGGCTCCAGTTCCTGTGAGTGGAGCTGCTTGGGCTCTGGGGACATTCCCAATGTTTCCTGGAGCGCACACACTGTGGCCAAGCTGCAGGATGCTGCTTTCCTAGGACAGGAGTGTCTGTGAATTGTGCTCTGAGTGCCCACTGGGCACCTGGTCATGGATAGTACATCTCTGCCAGCATGAAGTTGGTGTCTTGAGAGGTTTTGATGCAGATTCACATCCCTTCTTCTCTCTGTTGCATTTGGTAGCATAAAGGACAGTGCCCTTGGTCCAGAGGAACCTTTGGAGCTTGGCTTTGGCTTGTAGCAGAGCTATTAACTGAGTTTGCTTGTTCTTATCCTTCCATTGACTCCAGGTATTGTGTCTTCATCCCCCATCCGGCCACTTCAGGACTTAACATCTTCATCCTCACTGAGTTGCAGTTGATCTGGCTTCCCATTACCTCACTGGCATCCTGCTGGGTGGGGATGTCACCCAAACAGCAGCCTTCTCTGCTCTGCTCTTACTGGCAGGAGGGTTTATCCCAAGTGCAGCCTTTATTCATCCCCGTAGGTCCTGAGAGGCCCCAGCACAGCAGCTCCATGTGTGAACCACTGGTGGATGATGGCTTTGCTGCTTGTGTTTCAACACTTAGGGGCATTGCAGCATTGCCATTCCAGCTCTTTTCCACCTCGGGATGTGTGAGGTGCTGGGATGCTCGTTTTCTTGAGCTCTGTAGGAAAAGGGACCCAGCCATCTCTAATCCCAGTGCTTCCCAAGTCATCTAAGGAGGATTCTTTCTTGCAGAGAAGAATAAAGCACTGGCTGTAACTGGTGTTCCCTGAAAAACTCTATCATTGCGCTGTCATCCTGGGCATTTTTATCCCAGGAGCTGATGGTGGGATTATGGAGTCAACCAGAGCCTCCCAAAAGGAGCCTCTGGGCATGTTTTGAGCGAGGTTAATGCAGTTAAAACCAAACCAACCCTTTCTTCCCCCCCAAAACCTGAACCAAAGACCCCAGTCTTGAGGCTTATAGCACATAGAATTGTTCATCCTGGGCTTTTTTATCCCAGGAGCTGATGGTGGGATTATGGAGTCAACCAGAGCCTCCCAAAAGGAGCCTCTGGGCATGTTTTGAGCGAGGTTAATGCAGTTAAAACCAAACCAACCCTTTCTTCCCCCCAAAACCTGAACCAAAGACCCCAATCTTGAGGCTTAATAGCACGTAGAATTGTTCTCTAGGCTGGTGACTGCAGAGTTTGCTGTCCTCGGACGCAGCAGAGCTCCAGGAATTCCTTAAACAGGGAGAATGAAGCTCTATTTTCATGGTATATGTGCTTCACAGCCTGCCCTGCGTCAGGGCATCGAAAGTTGAGGTGCTCACGTCAGTGCTGCCTCGAGGGGGCTGACTGCAGGTAGTGCAGGTGTAGAGGCTCTGAGTTGGATGGAACCAGAGCATGAACCCGGTGAGCCTTCCCCTCCAGGCCTGTAAGCATTTTAACCCGCAGAGGGGAGATTTGCAAGCACTAAATGCAGCAGGAACCCCCCCACCATTGGCGTCAAGAGCTTGCTGGTAACTGTAGAATTCTCCAACATGGTTTGATTTCTTCTGTTTCTTTTAAATGCATTTAGCTCTGGCTTGAAAAAATATCCAGAGGGATCAGGAGTGGTGCAAAGAGCAGCTGCTAATCCTCCAGTAGAGCCCAGTGTGGCAAAGAAAGGAGCCGTTGCCATCTCTCATGTCAAAGAAGAGGTGTCAGCAGGACACATGGAGCCCTCTGAGTCCCACCTTGAAAGAGCAGGAAGGGACTTCGCTGCGAGACTGGTGGAGGCGCCGGTGGAGAAGGTGGACATTGGAGTTCCTGCAGCATCCATCAAACCCTCTGGCACTGAGACACCCCAAGTGAAGCTGGAGGAGATGCCGCCACCATCACCCAGCATGGAGAAAGAGGAGGCAGCTCAAGATGATACCAAACCAGTGCTGCCTGAACCTGCTGTTGTGTCTGCACCAAAGAAGGAGGCTAAAGAGAAAGCTGAAGGGTTGTCCCCTCCTGCTGTTGAACCACCAGAAGAACTGTCCCACGTGGGCAAGGCTGAAGATGCGCCACCAGGTTGTGCTGAGACCCCGGCGGGAGGGGAAGCTGTGGTGGTTGTCCCCAGGGTGATGCCCCCCAGCTCTGGCCTGGCACCAGTGCAGGTGGTGTCATCTGTGGTGACACGACCAACCAACAGATTGGATGCTCCTGAAAAGAAACCTGGGTTTGATGTGGTGAAACCCAAACTTGAAACGTCCGTGGCTCTGCTAACGGAGAAGAAACCTGTGCTGAAAGCTTGGGCAGCTGTGGAGAAGAAGCTGGATGGAGCTGGAGCAGGCAGAGAGGTGAAAGCAGAAGAGTCTGCACTCAGAGCGGGAAGAGCTGTGGAGGAGAACCCCAGAAAGCTTTTGGTCAAGACTGGGGCAGAGGCACAGAAGAAACTGGAACAACCCATGGCCAAGGTTGGGGCTGTTGCGGTGAAGGCTGCAAGTGCTGTCAGTGAGAAGAGTGAGGGAAGTTTGGTCAAAGCCCATCTAAATAAGGGGGCAGGAGCATCAAGAGCTGATGAAACCCACAAAGCTCTTACATTGAACTCCCCTGTGTGTGTCAAGGAATGTTCCTCTGCTGCTAAAACGATCCTGAGGGCAGTGCTGTCTCTTCCAGACATAGCCAAGTCAAGGGTTCCAGTGTGGAGAAACGAGCCTTCCTCGTGTAAAGGAGGGGAGCAGAAAACCCCCTTGAAGCCTGAGACCCAAAGCCCGGTGGTGGTGGTGGAGAAGAAAACCACGTCAAAAGAAGGTGATGCCCCCAGAGCTGAGAGCAGCAGACCAAGCCAGGGAGATGGCAGCAGCACTAAAGTGAACAGAAGCTCTGTTGTTGATGGCAAGGGAGGCAATGGGAGGAATTCATCTCAGCAAGAGAAGGAGTCCCGAGTGGAATCTAGGGCTAGTTCAAAACAGACTCAAGAGGGAGAGAGTAGATCCTCCAGCATGAAGAAAGACAACAGCAGCACTAAGGTGAGGAGGGCAGGAAGGCCGGTTCCGTTGCCTCATGAGTAACTAACTCCATGCTCCTCCCAGATTTGAGTCTGGGACCATGAGGTTATGTTCCCCTCCCCTAATCCATAAGGGAGCTGGTGTGGGCCAGCAGCCCAGCTGGAGTAGCGTGATGGTGGCCAACCAGTTGCCTTTAGATGCCATGTGAGCAACGCAGGTACGTAACTGGCTTGAGAACGCTCCTTGGATAAAAGTTGAGGAAGGTGGTTTTGGAATAAGCCTTCTTTGAGTGTCATAACTTTATGTTCTTGGATTAATGGGAATTAATGAGCTGTGTGTCCTTCTGTGAGCTGGTATTTGCTTTGTCAAGCCCTGCACAGACCCTGCTTACTGAAAAGAGGTTGTTAACCTGTGACTTGGTGCCTGGACTCGACCGCTGATGGTTGGCTTAGTGGTGTATGTGCCAAGAATGGGATCAGGAGCAGCAATCTGGACAACTTAAAGTTCCTTAAGGGAACAGAGCCCTAGCTGAGTGTCTTTGTAACTCTTCTCTTGTGGGCAGGCTGCTTGGCTGAGCTGGTGTCATGGCAACTTCTGTCTGATCTTGCAGGTTTCTGGTGGTGGCAATGCTAAACCCTCAAAAAGTGGCACAACCAGCAGTGCGAAACCAAAGGAGGTAAGGACATAACCAGAGCTGGCTTCAAGTGTGTGTGTGTGTGTGTACCAAGATCCCTTAGCATCCATTCCTGGGGAATTTCCTGTTATAGACTGTGGGCATAAAGCTGTAGCGTCAAGTCATTTGGAAGAGAAACTGAATCCAAGAAGTAAGTGCTAAAAGGAGTTATTTTTGGGTCTTGGATGTTCTTTCTTGGAGAAAGAGAGAATGAATTCTGTCTGCATGAGATTTGTATTTGTCATCACACTGTGAGAAGAGGAAGGAAGGCTGGTGTCTTCCAGCTCTTCAGGAATGATTTTGTCCAACAGGAGCGAGTCAGGACATCCCCATCCATGTACATGCAGAGATACTTGCAATGGGGTTCTGCAGAGCAAGGATGGGTTATGGTACAGTTTTGGGGCAGTGGTGGTTTGAGGAAGAGCTTGGGAGCCTG